TAAGATGGCTGTACTTATGCTAACTTTTGATTTTTCAGATCCTACATTAGGATTACTTCACACATTTATTTGGGAGCCCGTTTAATACTGAGGTTTTCCCCCAGGATTCGTAATGCATATGTATCCCAAGAAGAACATATGGAGATTAATTTGTGGTTTTGCCAAGTTTCTTCAAAATTGAAATTTCACAGTATTGGGAGCCAGTGAGGAGCTCTACATTTAAAATTTAAGTGTGAAATTATAATAATCTCTTAATTGTTTAAAAATATTTACTGTTATTTTCCTTGGAGATGAATTTAAGATGTGGTCTACACCACCCAGGAACTCATAATATAGTAGAACAGATTTTTCAGGAGTTAAGAATTATCAGGAAATGTTTCACTGAAGAGGAAGGTTTACAGTGAATATTATTACATGACCCCTGAGGGAAAACGAATAATAGGAGAGTCTAGGCTCATAGACGATAAACAAAGGCATGGAAATGAGGAAAAACTAAAATTATTTTCCGAGGATTCCAAGTAATGTGACTGAAGGTAAAATGCAAGAGGTATAACAATGAAAAATAAGGTAGTAAGTCATGGTTTTTAATGTTTTTTGAATATTGCTAATAATCTGAGGGAAGCCTTCTCAACCAAAAGAACACTTTGGCAGTATTATATCTATCCACAGATTCAAGATCTTGAAACGATTTGAATCAATCTCTTCCTAACAAATCTAGAATTCTTCCAGGCATCCAAAGGGATTGGAATCTAGACCGTGTCTTGTTCTATTGCCCCAAAAAGAAGCTTCTCCCTGGACTTTGGTTAATCCCTTTGGTTAATTATCCCCTCCGGCGCCGCGGTTCCCGCCTGTAACACCCAGCCCGCGCGGGATCCGTCCTCAGAAGCCAGGGGCGCGGCATGGGCCACGTGAACCACAGGCGCGGCAGGCTGGGTGGGCTTGGGTGGAAACCCTGAAGCACCAGGAGCAGGCCCCGACCCCCCGAGGCCGCCCGTGCGGGGGCGCATGCGCGCACTTCGGCTCGCGGTTGGGGAGGGCTTCTCAGAGCTCTGGGCCTGGGTTATGGCTGAGGGTCAGAGTTGGGAAGAATCTTTAGGGGCAATTTTTTCCCAGTTGAGAAAGCTGAGGTCCCAAGGTCTAAAGCGCTGAATTATTTTAAAGGGGCCACTGTAGCAACTGTCCGGTCACTGCATCTGAGGGCTTTTGAATCTTCCTCTACTGCATTTCTCCACCCCGCACGATCTCTTCTGTTCAGGCATTGTCCTCAGCGGCCCCTGACTCGGTGTCCTGCCGTGGTCTTTGTGTTCAGATATCCCGAATCTCCCCAGTGCAGATGGCTAGCGCTGTGGCC